AAAACCTAAAACTAATAAATCATTTTAGCAATGTCACAGGATACTAGCACAAGAATCAACTGTTTTTCTATATTACAATAGGAAAAAAAACCAGAAAAGAAAAAAAAAAACAAAACCCTGAGATTCTTGGACATAAATTAAAACATATGCAAAAGCTGTTTGCTGATAACTACAAAATGCTAATGAAAGAAACTAAAGAGGATCTAAATAAATTAAACATACTGTGTTCATGGACTAGAAGACTCAACATAGTAGAGATGTTTTCTTTCTCTTTTTTTTTTTTTTTTTTTTTTTTGAGACAGTCTTACTCTGTTGCCCAGGCTGCTGGAGTGCAGTGATGCGATCCTGCCTCACTGCAACCTCCAGCTCCCAGGTTCAAGCGATTCTCTTGCCTCAGCCTCCTGAGTAGTTGGGATTACATGCATGTGCCACCATGCCCAGCTAATTTTTGTATTTTTAGTAGAGACAGGGTTTTGCCATGTTGGCCAGACTGGACTCGAACTCCTGACCTCAAATGATCCTTCTGCTTCAACCTCCCAAAGTGCCAGGATTAGGGTAGAGGCGTGAGCCACCACACCTGGCTGAAATGTCGTTTTCTATAACTGTTCTACAGACAGTGCAATTTCCAATCAGGACTTTTTAGAGAAAGTGCCAAGCTAATTCTGAAATTTCTATGGAAATGCAAAGAAACTAGATAACAACAAAACAACTATGAAAACAAATAAAGTTGGAGAAACTACTTGTTTTCACACTACCAAAGTTTAAGACTTACTATAAAGCTACTGCGGTCAAGATGGCATAGAGCTGATAGAGACAGAACAGGTTTAGAAGCAGGGCCATAGAAAAATGGCCAACTGATTTTTGAAAAGGTGCAACGGCAAGTCAAAGGAGATTTGTTCAACAAATGTTGTTGGAAGAACTGGATATCTATATGCCAAAAGTTTAACCCCAACATAATTCTTACACTTTATGCAAAAATTAACTCAAAATTGACCGTAAGTCTAAGTGTAAAATTAAAAACAGTAACACTTCTAGGAAAAAAAAAAGAGAAAATCTTTGTGACCTAGGGTTAGGCAAAGGTTTTTGTAAACATGATACTAAAAGCATAATTCATAAAAGAAAAATTTGATAAACTGGACTTCATCAAAATCACAAACTTTTGCTCTGGGGAAGACACTGCTTAGAGAGTTTGAAAAGACAAGATACAACTGGGAGAAAATATTTTCAAATCACTTATCCAGCAAAGGATTTGCATCTAGAATACATAAAAACCTCTCAAAACAATAAGAACATAACCCAAATAAAAATGAACAAAATACTAGTAAACCAAAAAGATATAGATAAGAAACACGAAAAGATGTTCAACATCATTAGCCATTAGAGAAATGCAGATGAAACCTGATGAAAACCATGATGAACCTGACTATTAAAATGACTATTTCTGTATCAATACCACATTGCCTCAACTTTAATAGCCATAAAATAAACTCTCACTATCTACTATCTAATATGGATAAGTCACTATTCTTCAAAATTGCTTCACCTATTCTTTGCCTTCTCTCTAACCTAATTCTAACCAAAGGGATCTCCAGAATACCCCAGAGAAAAATCAAACTGCTAGGTAATAATTTCAATGAATTCAAACTGTTGGTAGCTTTCTGAATCTGTGCAACACTACCTTACACTGTCATTTAGGCAAGAGGACAAGTTTTATACCCATTTTATCAATGAGGAAATAGACACATGGATTCCAAATCTAAAACGCCAAATGATAGCACCACAAAGCAAGAAAAGAGCCAAACTAGTACCAAAAATAGAACTTCCGATCCCCAGTCCAGTGTTCTACCCTTGAGCCAAGTTGAATTCCCAGGGTCCTGTTTGCTTTTTACCTACATAGAAACCATCTCAATCTCATTAGGTGGGGGGGAAAAAAAGCAAATTCCCTCACCCTACCCCACAAACGGAACATGAAAGATATTACGAAAAATTTTTTGAGTCAGCCATAGAAAAGAAATGGGAATCTATATGAAATTTTAAAGAATAAAAACATTTCAAATGTTTTCCAGACATAAAAGCCTAGCAACCATTTTAATTAGGTGTCACAGTTAATTATAAGATCAATGAATGTTACAGATGGGCTTTTAAAAATCATAATTAACATCCACTTAATGAAAAACACTCTCTCTTCTCCAGACTGCATAATGAAATACAAAATGAACTACATTTAAAATTTTGTTAACTATAAAAACCTACCTATTCAGGGAAAAGAATTATAAACAGCAGATAGCTCAAAGCATAATTTTATTAGCACTTCAGAAAAACAGTGACAACAGTTTCTAAGAACTTGCATGTTCATTTCCTGTATGTGAAACCACAAAAAAGTTTGAATATTTTATAATATGCATTTACTTTATCACCTTTTTTGAAGACCATTGTGCTTCCCCTCTTTTTTGGCCAGGAAGTAGAGTAGGAGGAAGACTGTTTTCCAAGCTCTCTAACAGGTTTCAAATTTTAAAAACAGACTTCATATTCAAAACAGGTTAGGGGCCTTTAAGCTAATGCACAACCTATTTTTCAACCTATTTTTATAATGCCTATCTTAACTAGTCATAATACACTTACTTACATTATTTTCTATAGGTAGTTTCAAATTACAGGTGAATTTTTTTTTAACCAAGTTTTAAAAAAATTTTTTCTTTTCTGCATTAGTCATATTCTCGCCCACTTTACCACCCAAAGACTTTTGCAGTCAGACTCCTGGCAGAAGGTTTAGAACATTCTGCTGCTGATAAAAGAGAAACCACCACCCACCCAAGACAGCAATTGCCAGGTGTTTTTTGGTTAAGAAAAATTTAAGGAAATTCAAGTCAAAATTTTTAAGCCAACCACAGAAAATAAATGGGAATATGTATGAAATATAAGAGAATTTTTAAAGAATAAAAAAATTTCGAATGTTTTCCAGATAATAAAAGCCTAGCAATCATTTTAATTAGGCATTACATTAATTATAAGATCAATGAATGTTTACAGATTGGAAACTCTTCTGTTTCCCTTAACTGCAAGTAAACTACTCCCATCACTACAGGAATACAAAGAAATATTCTGACTACTGATATACCCTAGATGTGTCTTTAAATGTCAAGAATCTAGTTTAAATTTTTTTCATGTTCAGGTTATTCGTTTCTAATATTAATTAGTACATAATATGAACTGACCCATATGAAAATAAAAACATTAAAAGTATAATTATGGTTTTCATAGAAACTTATAATCCTAAGAAAGAAACAATGCATGCAAATTACATATAAAAATAAGCATTGATACAGGCATATCATTGTATCTGAAAGCAAAGAAAATTTTCACTGTCCTTGAAAACAGTGGAATGAATACATGTTTGGAACTGTACACGTTCTGAAGAAAATTAATTTTTAAAGTTGGAAGAAAGGCTTTGGAAGTAATGGTGCTGGAGGATTAAAAAAAAAATACACATTCCCTTAGAATTGTGTCTGAATTTAAGCTTCATATTCAAACAATTATGACAATTCAGGAAGGAACTAACCTAATCTAAACCAGTTATTTCTAACTTACAGGCTAAGGAGTCAGTGGAAGAGTTGCCTGAATGCACATACTCCAAGCACTGTCTGTAGTCTAAAACATCTCTGCTCCATTTTTCTAACATAAACAGATATTATAAAAATAAAATACAAAATCTTTTAAAAGCATAGTAGTTTTCTGTCATATATAATTTCAATCAACAATTACTAAAAGTACAATTGTGTAAGTGTAGGGTTTCTCATATTCAAAACAGGTTAGGGGCCTTTAAGCTAATGCACAAGTTCCTTCTGGCTCCAAAATTCTTTGATTTTAAAAGATGAAGAACTCTTAACGGTGAATTCTTTAGAACTATTCCATTTCTATAAGCACATATATATATATAAATAATGCTTGCTAAGTGCCAAGCATTGGATTCTTTTTCAGAGATGAATAAGACACGATTCCAGACCCAGGTTCAAATTGGCAGGAGGGACAGATACATAAACAAATAATACAACCTAATAAATACTGCAGAAGAAATGTTTCAAACGCGTTGGGAACACAGCGGTATCAATTCACCTGCGGGAGTCTGAGAAGACAAAGATTTATGATTTGGGTTTTGACAGGTGGTAAAACAGAGGAACAGTAGGCATTCTAGACAGATGCTACTGCATTTACAAAAGTACATTGTTGTCAAAGTGCATGGCATGTTTGAGGAAACAGACAGTATAGTCTGGTATGGTCAGATATTAAAGCAAGATTAAAAGGTAAAATGGATCGGGACAGACTGTAAAAGATCCTGAATGATGATGTACTTAACAATTAGGATTTGATTCTATCAGCAATATGGTTACTAAAAAGTTTAAGGAAAGAACAGAGATAAATATGTATTTTAGAATAACTCTGGAAGGACTGTAGTAGGGAAACCAGTGTAGGGCAAGGGGCAACTACAGTAATTCTGGGGAAAGAAAAAATAATACAGTGCAGTGAGTGGAAATGAAGAACCAAGAATGATTCCTGGTTTTCTAGTTCGGATAACAGGACAGATAAGGAACCATTATCAGGGATGGGACAGAGAAGGACGACAGGAAGAGAACCAGAAAAAAGTAATGCCCCTTGGAGAGCAGTTTCAAGAAACAAGTTATCTTCATCAAACGCTGCTAACAGGTGACTGAAAGGGTCCCCCGTCCGGTGGTGAGCTCGCAGGTGGGTAAGGCAGGAAGAAAGCAGATACGGAAGGGTTAGGGCCAAGGCTTTTCATTAAACTTTCTGAACAGCAGCTCCATTAAGAGGAGCTCGGAGCCGGGGGATGCGAAGAAAAAGTCCGGCTCCCGGGAGCTCGGAGCCCGCGGCTGGAAGTGGCCGAGCCGGCGCCGGTGGTTCCAGAGGCGCAAGGCACCGGCCTCAACGAAGGACGCCCGCGACTCGCCCACCACCGCTCTTGTCCCTGGATTTAGTCTACTTACTCTCCTCTTAGTCCCTCGCAGGCTTCAGCTGTGGCGATCCGACGACTCAATGACTCAACCAACCCGGACCTATGCACCCAAGGGAAGAGACTGCGCGCCTCTAATCCGCCTCCTTAGCGAGCAGACGCAGAACCAGACAGAGGCAGCGGATGGGTGGCCGGGAGGCAAGTGGTGTTCAGCCCCATCACCGGCTGGGGAGACACCTCCGCCGACCGCCTCCGACCGTCGCGCCGGGAGGACTCCAAGCTCGCGAGATTTCCTTCCTCGCGTTACGGTGGGGCAGAGCCGACCCCTCGTCGGTTTGCGCGAGCAGGCGGGGCGGGGCCCTTTTATGTCCCTCACTAGTCCTCCCCTCTCAGGTTTTCACTGGGCCTCTTGCAAAGTCTCGCGAGTTTTTCCAGGGGAAAGCGGCCTGGGTGGAGAGACCGAGAAGGGGAGACGGAGTGGGTGGGCCCTACGTTTAAGGTGCCGTGGCTGGTTTAGCCAGTGCTGTGGTTGGTACTTCGCTTTTTGGGAGGCTTTCAGGTCGCCCAGATCCTTCTTCCCAATGGGTGACTGGGAAAATTAGCGGGTGGAAAATCTCGAGGGGTGGAGGCTTTTTTTTTCTCCTTGGCCCCGCCCTCTTCCTGTTCGGCGACTGAGGCGCCTGGCCCTCCGAGGGGGAAGGGAGGCTTGGTGGGGTGGTGGGGGTGGCTATCGGAGAGCGCTGTGCGCACGCGCGAGCCCGAGTGTGTGAGTGTGCACGCGCACGCGCGCTCCTGCACTTAGGAAGCCTGGGAAGGACCGGTGTGCTAGGAGATGATCTGGGAAAGCACAGTCCCCTGTCTGTGACACCAGCCACTCCCGACTGTGCGCTGACTCTCCCTACCCAGCCAGCAGCCTTTTCCAGAGAGGCTGTGGTCCATAGCGTCTGTTCGTTTTCACTTCCAGGACCAGGCACGAAAGTAAGCGAACCTCGAACCTGAGGTCTTCCCTATCCGCTCACCTTGTATTTTCCACCACCTACCCTCCAGCAAAGTGGGTCTAGAAGGCTTCTCAAAGAGTTTTGCATGAAGGGGAGATACGTCTGAAAGCAGGAGGTGAAAATAGCTGGATCTTAAGAAGTCAGTTCGTTTTGATGAACACTTTGGCTTTGCTTGCCATGTGCTTTTCGAATGTGAATTGTCTATTCAGTATAAGATTTTGTTAGCAAAGCAGGGGAGTACCATATGCTCTGTTTTAATAAGAAAAAGTTTTAAAAGTTCCTCCTCCACACCAGTGTGATGGTAGCAACTAAGTTTTTCTGGTGTGCCTGGTAAATTACTGTGATGTTCAAAAGCTAAGGGAAGAGTGTGAAGTTGGGGTGCTTATCCTAAGGCGAAGACCTGATATGCGTTATCTTAGGAGATGTTTTATCTTTGTTTTGGCCTTTTCTTTTGCTGTCACTTCTCTTTCCTGTTAATTCCTCACCCCTAATCCCCAGTCCCCCTTTTTCAGAAATCTTCAAACATTTTCCGTGGAGGGAATCCCAAAAATACTTTCTTGGGGTTTATATGTGACTAATGTCAATTAGGAAGGATCATAAAAGTGTATTTGAAGAGTATTTGTCATTATGCTTGGTATATGTAAGGGAATCAAATATAATTAAATGTCAAAATGTTTTCTTCTGACAGTTTTAAGTTCCTTTTAAAAGCAAAATCAAAAATGTATGCACTGGTAATTTTGTCTGTGCCTGGTAGAGTGACAGCCTAATATGGTGTTTTGATACAGTTGCTTTCTGGTTATGACTTAATTAAACTGTCCTTTGTGGACAGATTTCTTTGAACATATTATTCGTGTTCCCCAGCAAGTCTTCTTGAGGGAAAGACAATCTTCTTGAGAAAATTAGAAAAAATTTAAGATATTAAATGTTATATATAAATATTTGGCTAATATATTTTCCCCTTACAGGTTAAAACAAAATGAAGATTTTTTCTGAATCTCATAAAACAGTGTTTGTTGTGGATCACTGCCCTTACATGGCAGAATCATGCAGGCAGCATGTGGAGTTTGATATGCTTGTGAAGAACAGAACCCAAGGAATCATTCCTTTGGCTCCCATATCTAAATCATTGTGGACTTGCTCAGTAGAATCTTCCATGGAATATTGTAGAATCATGTATGACATATTTCCTTTCAAAAAGCTGGTGAGTGTAAAATACAAACAAAATCATGATTTTGGGATGTACTTAATTGCATAAATGATTTTTTTGTATATGAATTTGCTATAGATTATGACTTCAGTACTTAAAAATGTGGTACAGAATGCTGCCCTTTGGGATTAATATATAATGGATATTTAATTGGGGCCAGTAATAATAACAGCTAATAATTATTGAGCACTTACATGTGCCAGACATATTTCAAAATGCTTCGTATTTATTAATTTCTTTAATTCTCATAACAGTCCAGTTAGGTAGGAACCGTAATAATTGAAGCAATATTCAAAATCTGTAACAACCTGTGTAGAACACAGGCTGACCATTGAGAGCTGTTGTCAAACTGTGCTGGCATGTATCAGCTGAGTGTCTTATTGCTTCCTGTTGTAGATGGAGAAACTGAGATAAAGAGAAGAAACTTGTCCTAAGTCACATAGTTACTTAGAGGCAGAGCCAGAGTTTGAACCTAAGCTGGCTGGGTGCTTGTAGTTTTAGCGAATATATACTAAACTGCTGTACGGTTTAGACATGTTAGAAAGAAATACTTTTAAGAGTACTGAGTGGAAATGGTTTTATCAGTAAGAAGAGAAATTGATGATTGATAGAAATTCCAGGTATTAAAGTTATCTTAGATTTCAGTATCTTAAATGTCTGATTTTGGGAAAGTCATTTGGATAGCCACAAGTGGAAGACTTGTTTTCTGTCTCAGCAGCCTAGGCTGGGACCTAGCCAATTCTTAGACTGAGGAAGATAGGGCAGTAAAGGTGAACATAGTCCAATATTATACATTCAGATATATTCCAAATTAAAATATAAGCCCTTCTTAAAATTTGTGTGCATTCTATGTAGGATAAAAACATATAATGAGAGGGAATATAACTGATTTAGAGCACAGGCATGGTCAGCTACCAGCAGTGTGACTTGGATCATTTCTTAATCTCTCCAAGCCTCAGTTTCCTCCCATGTAAGTGTAACATTTGCTTCCTTGTTGTAAGCTTTAAAAGAGGTAAATCTAAGTAAAGTGGCTTGTAAAATATGTCCCTGTCAGATAAGCCTTTTGGGGAAGGAAGGAAAACTGGTATTTCATGGATGTATAGGAAAAAAGATCATAGATTAGATCATATTTTCCAGAGTAAACAAAGAAATCTAACCTTCTACCCAAAAAGGAACATGGGTCAGAATCATCATTTGATAAGTTTTCAAAAATGGTTCTTGTCATTATCTTACCTGATAGCAGATAATTTCAAATTTTCAAATTTGCATTTTTACTTTAAAACTTAGCAGAAAGTCCATATCCATTATTTTGGCTTTCAGTGCCCTATATGATACAGCTCCTGCCTATTTCTCTGAGTTTGTCTCCTCCCCAACTGCCTGCTCTGACTTTCACTCTTTCAAGGGTATATGCTTAGAGGACTTTGCATTTGTTGTTTGCTGTACCCAGATTGCCTATCCCTGACTTTTACAGTGGCTGGTTTCTTTCATTCATTTTGGATTGCCTTCAGTTACCACTTCTATGGAGAGCCCTTCTCTGACCACCCAATCTAAAGTAGCTAAGTTATTTTTTATAGTATGTATCACTCTCTGAAATTATCTTGTTCATTTATTTGTTTGTATTCTTCCCACAGTGCCCTCTGTCCCAGTAGACTCCCTTCCCCTGACTTTCCCCACATTGTGAGTGACAGAACTTTTTTATTCATCACTCTATTCCCATATACCCAGTGCCAGCAGTAGCACCTGGCATGTATTCTACATTTTATAACTATAAAATGAATGAATGAATGAATCAGTGAAACAGTGTTAGAAATTACATGTTATTTTAAAATACATTACTGATTGAGTGAAATTAGAGTTGAACACTAATTGTTTCTTTGGAATTTATTAGGTGAATTTTATTGTGAGTGACTCTGGAGCACATGTTTTAAATTCTTGGACTCAAGAAGACCAAAATTTACAGGAGGTATGATTAGATTTTGAGCTGTGGCCATTTGTAAAAATTATCTAAATGTGGTAATGCTTTTTAAAAAATGACCAATTTTTTAAATCACTCTAGTATTTGCATATAGTGTTAAAATGCCAAGTAATATTAAAAGAAAACAGCTATCTCCATTCTAGTCTTTCCCTACACCCAGCACCCCCAACCAAACTTCCATTTTTTAGCGGTTGTCGTATTTACTTCCAGATTTCTAAATAACGTGTTTTTATTCCTGTTTATTGAGTTATCTGTTTATTTATCTACTTATTTATTTATTTATTTTGAGTCGAAGTCTCACTGTCACCCAGGCTGAAGTGCATTGCGTGATCTCGGCTCACTGCAGCCTCTGTCTCTCAGGTTCAAGCGATTCTTTTGCCTAAGCCTTCCAAGCTGGATCTGCAGCTGGGACTACAGGCATGTGCCACCTTGCCTGGCTAATTGTGTATGTTTTAGTAGAGACAGGATTTTGCCATGTTGACCAGGCTGGTCTCGAACTCCTGACCTTCATGTGTGTAATGCTTGCCCCCTTCTCTTGTGTTCTCAATATGAAATATATCACAATTTTTGGTTATTTCAAAGTTACATGTTTGCATAATAACATCTACATAAAGTATTATTCACTGTTAAGCCAAGTAATATATATGATTATTTCCTTATACAGCTGTTTATTTCTGGAATTATTTGTTATTTCTGTTTTTTCCCCTTTGTGTGTTTTGTTTTCATAATATCCATTGCTGCTTTTCTTCATACTTCTACAAAACTGCCTAATATTTTGATGTGTTAGATAGTTCAGCAGTTTGATTTTGTCCCCTCAGGAGCTTCTTGGAGCACAGTCTTCTGCTCCAGTTTGAACTGGCTGCTTTCTAGGCCCACTGAACTGCTGTCATTCTCTCCCTATTTCTCAGATCCCATTTTTTTCCTCTGTCTTTATGTAATCTTCTGTTTTGGTAGAACATAACCTCCGGAATTCCTGTAGTTTACCTTGCCCTTTGCTGATACTTTGGGTGTAGAAATTTCATGTTGGAAATA